ATATTCTCAAGTTTCATTCAATATATTCATCTTTTCATTATATATATTCAGACTTTTATTATATATTCTCAAGTTTCATTCAATATATTCAAGTTTCAATCAATATTTTCATTCCATTTATTTCCTGAACGGCTTGCCATAATATATATGTATATATGTATGAATATTCACTTGTGATTAATATATGCTGGAAATGTGAATATGTTTAAGTATGTAGGTAAATTCATAATGTTAGACTTGGCATTATAAAAATATAGTGTTAAATACTGGAAGTTGAATGTATTGAGATACTAAGAGTAATTGTTTGATCCTGTTATCACAGGTCAGGTTTTTTTTTTTTGGGACATTCTATTCCATTCGTGAAATGATCATAAATCATTCTTGGAGTTCGATGGCAAGCCTCCCAGTGGATTCTGGAACGGGAAGATCTGGATAATTTTGGTCAGCATACAAGTGTTACTACACTCCCAGTGTGGTGGACAATAGTGATGTGTCGTTCGCGAACGAGCCGGCTCTAAGAGCCGATGCTTTGTAGGGAACGAGAAGAGCACCCCCCCGCCGGGGAGAACCAAATCTTCAGCCGCTATTGGTCAGGTCTGCTGACAATCCATGCACAGAAGCGCGAGACTATTTTTATGGGTGCACCATTCGACCAATCACGTGCGAGGACAGACTAGACTCATACCATTATGTGATAGACGTAAGGGGTCCGGGCCAGATGCTCAGACAGCGAGTGTAGTGGTAGTATAGGACAGGTACACACAGATGGGGAGCCAGGTTAAAAGCAAGCGCGTCGGGAAAAACGGAGGAAATGTCCGAAAACCGAAAAAGAGGCAGCATCTGGATGAATTTCAGTGATAATGGAGACTGCAAAGCTGAGTGCCGAGTTTGTAAAATGAAAATATGTGTCAGAGCAGGGTCAACAACAGACTTGCACAGACATCTAAGAACCGCCCATCCAGCCATGAGGCTGGAGGAGAGAGGGCAAGCGAGCCTTAAACCCCTTGTATGTTCTACGTAGTAGAAAAACCTTGTCCCAAACAATTATTCCACGACTATATAACAGAGCGTGCATTTTGGAAAGACAGGGTCAAAAAAGCTTCAGCAGTATGCCTGACAACTGACTGCTGGACATCCAGAACAACATGCTCATACATGTCTGTCACTTGTCACTTTATTGAAAAATTTAAGGTGACATCCTGCCTTCTTGACTGTTTTGAGTTTTCGGAGAGACACAGCAGAAAACCTGGCAGAGGAGCTAGTAGGAGTGGCAGGTAGATGACAAAGTGGTGTGCTGTGTTACTGATAATGATTAAAATGTTAAACAGTAGTGGCTGTCTATTTTTTGAAATAGAAAACTGGATAAAAATAAGGCTTTTATGAAAACACCAAATAAACAAATGCTTAGAAACACATAAATTAATTATAATTGCTAAATTAGGCAGAAATGATAATAAATTAAGAGCCGCTTGGGAGCCACAAGAGCCGGCTCTTTTAAGAGAGCCGAGCCAAAAGAGCCGAATCTGTGAAAAGAGCCGGACCTCCCATCACTACCATTTACAGCCCTGACATTCTTGAGAACATCCCTGAGAAGTGGACCCCCGAGGTGAAACACTTCTGCCCTAATGTTCCCATTATACTGGTGGGAAATAAAAAGGACCTGCGCAATGACGAGCACACCCGAAGGGAGCTTGCCAAAATGAAGCAGGTAAAAATTTAAAACACAAACACATTTATACTCTTACTAATGAATGCACATCATCTAACACTTCTCTTGACCTTTTCTTAAGGAACCTGTGAAACCAGAGGATGGCCGGGACATGGCTAACAGGATCAGTGCCTTTGGATACATGGAGTGCTCTGCAAAAACAAAGGATGGTGTGAGGGAAGTTTTTGAAATGGCCACCAGGGCGGCACTACAGGCCAGGCGGGGAAAGAAGAGCAATAAATGTGTCCTACTGTAAACGGGGGCATGAGGACTGCTTCCTACGTACACTGGGACCCATAGTCCTTTAATTCTTTCAACAAACTGAAGCACACATGAAGTCAAAATCTGTGTGCTTCATATATAAATGCTATGTGCATTTTGATCATAGACAATGTGAGACTGGAAACTCGTTTTGTTAAAACACAAATGGAAACTTAGTGTTTTGTGTAATAAATTACTTTGTAAGAATCTTGAAAAAAAAATAAAAAATAAAAAAAATGTTTAAAAAAATGAATTTCTTTTTTTTCTTTTTTTTTTAGAATATATATGAACAACTGATGCCTTCACATCCCCAAACGAAATAAAATATTAACTTCCCTCACAAAGCGCTACTTCAACAGCCTGTTAATTTCTTCTGTAGTCCAAACCAAACCTTAACCAAAGGGTAAACGAGGTGGTCCATCAAAACAGCGTTCCTCGCGGAGCACAGTTGAGACGAAGCGGCGAAGCGTCGACAGCAATCCGATGTGGAGCGGAGCTCATCCGGGTCACGGCACCACGTGTAACCGGTCGCCTTTGGGTCTCTAATCTGTCCTCTTAATCCTCGCCTGTCCCTCTGGTGACTGGCCGTGCTGCGTTGTGTTAGCTTGGGACACATGGACCGACACACTTGCTATTCACGGGGCCCTTTATTGCTGGTGTTAGGTTATTGCTGACCGGTGGCCTTTGGGTCTCTATACTGTCCTCTTAGTCCCCCCCGCCTGTCCCTCTGGTGACTGGCCGTGCTGCGTTGTGTTAGCTTGGGACACATGTACCGACACACTTGCTATTCACGGGACCCTTTATTGCTGGTCACAGAGGAAAAAAAACATACAACAGATAGCCTCCAGTGAGTGCTCAGCTTGCTCCTAAACAAAAACACACAACAGGTTTACCCATGCGACCCAGGGTGGGCGATAAAAGTAAAATAGTCGCAAATGGATGGAGCGCTCACCTCTTTCCACTCGACACCGTGCAGGAAAGAGAGCGGAAGAGGTGCGCGACCCCTCTTTATACCCGGCTACCAACGAAGAAAAGCATGGCTCAGTTGCAAGTCCTAGTGGAGTGGAGGCTTCCCTGACCAGGCATGTGAATTAACTTACACATGAACCAAAACGTTTTGTGTAATGATTACATCCTGGTTACATTCTGGGTACATATTACATCCCGGTTACATTTTGAGGAATTATTATACCCCGGTTACATATGCATGACCACTAAAGTTGTTCTGCCTAGACCAACAAGCAGGACTGGTTCTCCACTCATGGTGCTAGCTAATTCTTCTCTGGTCTCTCTCTCTCTCTTTCTCTCTCATTTTTTAATGTAACAGTGATGGAAGTGCGGGCTGAGTAGAAGCGGAGACTCTCACATAGATATGTACTATAGTACATTAGGTGCATTTTTTTTCTTTTTTGTGTGTCTATGTATATTATAAAACTACATTGTATACAGTTTTTTCAGTCAACAATATACAGTAATATGTGCATTTGCACACAACAAAACACATGAACATCGGCAGCCGGTGAAAAGCTGAATATATGGAATGAAACCTGAGAATATTGAATGAAAGTCTAAAGTGGCTATTGCGACTATGCTTTAAACTACTACTGCTACATGTATTATACTACAATAATTATTTGATCTTATTTTATATGGAAGCCTTCATGATGGAGGAATTCAATTACCACATTGAAAGTTTCAACAGAGTTTCAACAGAATATGTTGCTGACATTCAAGCTTTTTTCATTAGAAAATGAAGAGATAAAAAAGTGTAATTGAAGTGTTAAATGTGCAGTTTTTTGCATACTGTACACCTGTTCACTTTTATATTTCAACACTGATATGCTCCTTTCTTTATGCCTTTTTCACTGGAACAACATGCGCAGTGGCTAAACAAGTCAAATCAATTTTGCATCGTTGCCTCACTAAAAGTTAGAAATGACCTTGATTGTGGTTGTATGTTTAAACCTTAAACTATCTGGCAGATAAGTATTCTAAAAGTGTCAAATAGTGTGTGTGCATAAGATAAGTGATTATCAAATAAAACACTACTACGCTTGTTGACAGAAGGGTGCCAAGGAAGTGTGTGTTTATATGTGCTGACCCAGACAGCATCAGTATTTCTGGACGAATCTCTAGACAGCACTGTCTTTTGAATGGATATATGCAGAGCTACACCACACAGCCGACATCTTCGCCATCAAAGTCACGTGCACACACTTCATCCTGGAGACAGGTGCTGCATCAGCCTCGCAGGGTGTCTAGGGATTGTGTGGGAATATCTTAAGCCTTCCTGATGCAGCTTGTAATGGTAGTGAGCAATAAATATGCAAGACACCGCTGCACCAGGAAGCATAATCAAAGACAGATTCCATAGTGCTTTGGGATTTTAAAATGTATGTATGAGAGCAGGGTTTAATTTTCTGGGAACAGGAAAGGTGACATTCCTTGAATAAATTCAATTAGTATGACATGCAGAAACAGCCTAAAATAAGTTTATGCATGAGGGTGTTTGCTTAGAACAGGCTACTTCCTTTATAGCCCTGTCCTACTTTGACCACAAGGGTAAATAATTTCATAGCGCTGAATCCTCTGTAATTAAGAAATTCTTTCTAAAAATATTTTGACCAAAACCTTTCTGTGATTTGACTGACTCATTTCTAGGCAAAATGAACAACAGCCTCAATAATTTTAATTTTCTAAAGGTAGACTGTTGCTGCAATTAATACTTCAAGGCAAAACATCAATTTAATCTTGAGGTGTAGTCATCTGAAGCAAAACTCAATTAAAAACATCAGATGTTCAAAAGCAAAGCTTTAGCAGGAAAACATGAGGACTTTCTAAATGTTAAGACCATTGGGCAAACATGATATAAACATATAACACTCACAAACCTCACAAACCTGCAGCCCCTAATCACTTATTAAAGTGTTATTCGATTATTTGAGGGTTTCCCTGGAAATAGAGTAGCCCAAGTAAGGAGTCGGCAGTTTTCCTAAAATTAAGTGTCAATTTTTTGAGAGCAAATAGACTAAACATAAACATACAGTATATTTCTATGTCGAATCCTGACTGCTGCAAGTATAATGTGCAATACTCTCATGTACTGTTGAAGCACACATGGAGACATGGACTGTGACTGATAACAATGAAACAAACAACACATCTATTGTAGTGTTAAGATTAATAACTGCACCCAGTGTCGATGTCAGCAGATGACAGCATGCATACTAATCATACATGGTCAGTTTTGTATCAAATGAATAATATATATATGTACAGTATGTATATAGTGTTCATGTTATACTGTAAATCAAGATGTCAAGAAACAGTATACAGTCCTTCAGTGAAGTGGGTCTACAGTGATTTTCCTCACTGTTATGCCACATACTTTAGAATAATGGTAATAATGGTAGTTATATACAACCTACGCAAACTGCAAAAAACAGGACTTTGAAAACAATGAAAAGGACAGAGAAAGGTTGTGCACGTATAATGAGCACTGCTTTTCTTGAGTAATCTGAGGTGCAATTTATAGCAGACAACTGTTTCTCTGTTCTTTTTTCTTTAGTATTAATCAGCAAAACTGCTAATAAATGCATCCAAAGCCAGGAGGCCTCTCATCTTCATACATACATTATACAAAAAAAAAAAGAAGTTCCTTTTTATGTAACCGTAATATGGGAATATTTTATCTCCTGCTCCACTTCCTTCATCACAAATTAAATGCAGTGTGCCTAGCAAAAAAAAAAAGATGAATAAATTAACAGCTTTAAAACACAAAGTGACAAGCAACTAGAAGAGTGACAGCAACAATGATAGGCATGTAGGAAGAGAAACTGGATAGATTGTTGCCCGGAGGCTTTCAAAGAGGAAGTGGAACTCAGACACATGGTGTGTTCACTACGCAAACACTATCAGATGGAAACTATTTGGGTGCCACAGTTTCCACTCTGGGCATTGCAATCTCAACAATGCACAGATAAAAATAAATGCGTTATATACAGTATGTACACTCAAACATGGGATTTCATCACTTCTAAAACCACTACCACTGGACTGAGACACTACATCTGCTAACTAAGGTAAAGTTGTACTGACCACTAATCCAAATTGTGCAATTGATGTGTCACACTTCATTAAATGTGTGCACTTGATGGCTTGGTGAGCACATGCATAGTGCTCATGTCACTTGAGAGAATATGAAGCAAGTACATCTGGTTGTGAATATGTAACTGTACAGCCAGGCTACTATAAATAAAATACACAAATATTCAATTTGCGATTATATCACTTATTTCTCCAATTTAAATGTAAAACCTGAACAGTAGGATACTTGTAAAACTACAAAAGGGGATAATCATTTTCTTTCAAGCTACCTATGCACTTCAATGTGTTTAACCTGACTTGTACATGGCTTGATTGTCATCTGAATAAATGGCATACTATGGCAAAATATCTGTAACTAACAATAATCTAATAATATGTTGCAGAAAATATAGGACTAGTGTTTTTCACATACTAACACAGAGAATTAAGAACAATTACCCATTACTCCTTAGTTACCACAAAACACATTTAGTTAATGATTTCTAACACACTACAATGCAGTAGTAAGCAGATATAAGAATATCTTAATGTTTATTAGGGTATGGTATTCATCAGAAATCATAAGTTGTCCCTCATAACCATATTTTACATTTTATCTCACTATAACCATGTTTTACTATATTGTAATTCATTATGTTGCCAGTAAGCAGAAATATAGGACAAATACATCAAAAACACATCTGCTTACAACTACACTGTAATGTCTTATCAACCATTTAAACCACTTATTACATGCTGTTGTTTATAGATTGGATCCAGCCCCTGACCCTTTGAGGTTGATGTTACTTATACATGACTTACTGTAGTGTTACTCAGTTCAACTTTTATGGCCACTTGAGCTACAGTAACAGCTTTAGATAGTTGAAATGGATTTTACGTAGTACAGTGATGTTATAGTACTCTAACTCAGACTT